TATGTCTTGTTGCAGCTTTTCTTTTGTCTCGCTGAGACATTTTCCTGAAAGATCTAAAGTCGCCATTACCTAGTCCTAATCTGTCAGGTTGCGCTGGACCGACAATGTCACCGTGCTCCAATGCAGAGATGATCTCGTTAGCTGCAACTTCTGCCTTCCACTTTCTGGCTGTTTTGATATCTGGAGGTTTTCCACTGATCTCCTTATCCCTTGATTCTCTCAAAATCAAAACGGTTCTAATCTTGCCTGCTTTGTAGATCTCCACGATTGACGTGAGAGGTAGTTGAAGCGCACCTCTATGTCTCTCTATAAAATGATGTATGTGTCGAGATAGACAGACAGACAGACAGACAGACAGACAGTCAGACAGACAGACAGATAGACGGACGGACGGCTGGGCGGGCGGGCGGGCGGGCGGACGGACGGACAGACAGAGAGACAGACACAGACAGACAGACAGACAGACAGACAGACAGACAGACAGACAGACAGACAGACAGACAGACAGACAGACAGACAGACAGACGACAGACAGACAGACAGACAGACAGACAGACAGACAGACAGACAGACAGACAGACAGACAGATAGATAGATAGATAGATAGATAGATAGATAGATAGATAGATAGATAGATAGATAGATAGATAGATAGATTTTAAAAAATAGATAGATAGATGAACTAAACTGCCGTGTACTATTCGTTTGCTTTTCCAAACCATGTTTCCTGTTATTTTCGGAAATTGTTTGGTCGAGTAAGGTTTAGGAAATGCAACTATTGCTTGTTCAGTTGCTTATTCTTTAGTAAGGTGAAACGTCCTACGACTTTGTCTGAATCTCTCATTGATAAACCTTTTATCTTGTCTGTACAAATGTAGATAGCCGTCTCAGTTAAGAAGGGGTTAATATGTGGACACAATAACTTAAGATTATACAGTAAACATTTTCTTATAGTAATCTTAACAACATCTCTATTCCGCCCCCGATTATTTTTTGTATTTAGACCTATTTGACAACCCAACATCAATAAAGTATAAAGCGTATAAAGCTTGTTGTTGAGCAGGGGTATGCGCTATATAAATGCTTTTTTATTATTATTATTATTATTATTATTATTATTATTATTATTATTATTAGTAGTAGTAGTAGTAGTAGTAAATATTAGCATTATCTTTCTTGTCGGTCAGGCGGGTTAATAGGAAAGTGTGAATATTTGATTTTTCCTATTTCACATACCAGCGGGCATGTCTGGGCCTGTCTCTCGGGCGCTCAAGTATTTATGAAACAATGTGCCTCACTTCGAAATGTCGAAATTTTCTCAGAGGGGAACCTCCAGGATATGAGGCAATATTATTGTTTCTGATGCACGTGCACTCCTTTGCAATCTTTTACGAACTGCTTTTTTCATCCTGTACCATCAACATCTCTCTCTCTCTCTCTCTCTCTCTCTCTCTCTCTCTCTCTCTCTCTCTCTCTCTCTCTCTCTCTCTCTCTCTCGCTCTCTCTCTATCTATCTGTCTATCTATCTATCTCTCTCCCTCTTTCCTGCACTCTCCCCCCTTCTCTCCTCACCCTCTCTCTTTCTTTCTCTCTATCTCTCTGTCTGTCTTTCTTTCTCTCTCTCTTTTTTTTCTCTCTCGCTACCTGCGCGTTGAACGGGAAAGCTTAAAAGTGTGCTCACCTTAATCTGCGCGGCTTAACCCTGAAATGAAGGCGGCGTTATTGCGAAATGATTTTTGCTGTCTTCTCATCTCTACACGGAAGTGAGGCAACGTCTAAATATATTCTACTAATACACACGATGACTCCTCCATCCTGATAAATTCTAAGAGCCTCCATTTACTCTTCACTACGAGCTCACAGGCATCTCACTCGGTGCATGGTATCAACGTGGAGAAGAGGAATACGGCGTGGAAACAGGTCTGAGTCGTGTGCGTAAAAAGTGCATGATTGCTGTGGAATTGTACAGACATACGTATATATAGATAGATAGACAGATAGATAGATAGATATACAGATAGATAGATAGATAGATAGATAGATAGATAGATAGATAGATAGATAGATAGATAGATAGATAGAGAGAGAGAGAGAGAGAGAGAGAGAGAGAGAGAGAGAGAGAGAGAGATAGATAGATAGATAGAGAGAGAGAGAACGAGTGGGATGTTTTTTATTATGTTCGATACTAATACCTTGATATTGACTCTGATGGTCATTTATAATGGGACTCGGAGCATGTAGCTAAGCGGGACACCAATAAATGTTGAAACAGTATCGCTATTAAAATGTAATGTGCAGACAAACTTGGATCCTCCTCTTCTTATTCGAACTTTAAACTAAAATGGATAGGTTAGCATTTTATAGCTGTGTCAATGCTGCTGACGCTATGTACCTTGGAAATTTTATTCGCTAAAATCTTTAAAACTGAAATAAGCTTTAACCTTGTTATTGTGACTGGCGATTTTGAAATGGTGAAAGCTATTTTCTGCTTCTGAAACTTGAAGGATATATTTTTTGACAAGGAAGAGTGGGTGCTCCAAGATACAGCATATTGTACTTGAAATAGGGAGATGAATATGTTGTGCGGCAGGCTTTCTTGCTACGTAAGGTTTGTAACACCTTTTTTTGTTTAAATAGTTATGACACAGGCTCTTGTCTTGCACGTAAAAGTTTGGTCATCGATATTTGTTTGGTGGAGGTGTGTGTGATGGATAACATTGGGTTTTAAGCTCCTGATTTTTACGTTTCTGATCCCAGGATGGGAGATCGTTTTGCAACTTACAGGCACTGTGGTCGTTAAAAATCAAAGTAGAATGCACAGTAAATATATCAAAGCCACCAAAATGAACGTTTGAGTCAATCCCTTCAAACTCACTGTAAGCTTTGGTCCGCATTGATGAAAGTCCAATCTTCGAAAATGGCATATTGCTGTCTAGAATGCGAAAGACTGTTCATTCTAGAAGTTAAAACTACCATAATATATTATGTAATTGATCGCTGCATTGTAGGATAAGAATATAATGTTTTAATAATATGTTGTTCATCACTGTTAATTTTCAGCGAAGATGTGTCGAACAAAATAAGAAATGTTTTACTTCCTCTCTGCATTCTTCCTTCGACCTTTAACCCTTTCACTGCCAGACTTGCCCTGTAACCCTACCAAATAGTTCCAGACTACGTTGGTCCTGACAGCGAAGGGGTTAATGTATTACATATTGAATCTGAAAGAAAAAGATTGAAATTCCAAACAAACGGAAATCCAAAGTAGTAGAGAGGCTACAGAACTTGCAATTTTTCTGTTCACAGCAGACAGGTCGATAGACAAATTGTTTTACCTATAGTTGTGGATCATTCCAACACAGCACGCAATTGTCTGTGAGAAGTTGTCTGTGAGAAGTACTTCTCTAAAAGTCCAGGGTCCGATGGAGACAAGGAAGAACAGACAGCTGGATTACACGTAGATCTAGGCTGTCAGTTTGCTTTGCGGTTGAGTTTTCTTATGCCTACTTGTTTAGGAGTTGTTCTTTTGGGGGAGTTTTGTTTTACGGGACCGGGGGGGGGGGGGTATGACTCCTCGGCCTTTTCATTGTCTTTATATCCGTTAACTCAGTTGGTATCACACTGGACTATGAAGCAGACCGTCCTGGGGTCGAATCCTTGAACTTGGATTGTTCTGTGGAGCTTTCAAGGACCTCAACCCAATTGGCTCCATCTTATTGGTGATGGACATTGAAATGGGGAACCTGGTCTCTTTAAATAACCTGTGTTGAAAGGGTTGTAAAACTATTACACTTGCGCTCTTCTTTTATTCGCTGTCTTTACCAGTGTGTCTTCGGATAATTTGTGGAAGCGCTCACTACATTTCACAAAAGAACTAGCATTGGTTAAGAACACTCTCGGCTCATCTATCTTTTCAACTCACAAGGGATAAAAAAAACGTAAAGATATAGTTGATGTATCCTACCCTTGCCAGTCTCTATGTCTTTCTTTCTCCTTGGTTTTTGTTTGTTTGTTTTTTCGTTGTTGTTTTTTTTGGTGGTCTCTCTGCTGTTTATTCCTCCCAGTTTTGCGATGTGCTTTTTGGGTAATTTTCATTTTCTTCATTCTTTCTTTCTTTCTGTCAGCCCATCTGTCCAACTGATAGCCTCAAGGTCAATGGATGTGATCAATTTGGACTTGGTTGCAACCAGTAATGTGTTGTGCTGATGAGAGATGCATAAGGTGAGCGAATTAAGTGGGAGACTGGGTCTTATGTTTAAGCATGCGGTTGTTTTTAAAGTGGGGTGTCTCTGCACTTGCGCATATTATGTATGTGTGTATGTGTTTGTGTGTGAGAGGGTATGTGTGTGTGCGTGCGTGAGTGAGTGAGTGAATGAGTGTGTGTGTGTGTGTGTGTATGTGTGTGTGTGTCTGTTTAAATAAGAGAGAAAGAGGGCATATATTTGAGAGTGTATGTGTTTGCTGTTTTGTGTTTGTGAGGTAGAATATTCGGGGGCAGTGGGGGAGAGTGTATCAGGTTGATTTTGTATAAGGAGGAGCAGAGGAAGAAGCGAACAAAGAAGAAGAAAAAGAAGAAGAAAAAAAAGAAGAAGAAAAAGAAGAAGAA